AACCACTATAGTCGAGGACGATTTTGAGTATTAACTCAAAAAAAAATTATTCATTATCTATAAATTAAATAACAGAAATAATTTCATTAGTTATATTGTATTTATTTTTCTCCAATATAAAAAATCTTTACATTCAAATTCGTCAATTGATTATATTCGCTACATTGTCCCTACAATGCTTTATTTAAAAAAAAAATTATTCATTATCAATAAATTAATTAAGAGAAATAATTTTATTAGTTATATTGTCTTTTATCTTTGTTGTGCACTATTTTTTAATTAAAGATCAAAGTTATGATACAAAATAATGTTATATATTTATTTACCAAGTATTTTATTAATACCATGAAAAAATTAAAAAAATATAATTAATAAAGCCAATCATATTAACTACTTTGAGGGATTTGTTGACAAAGAGAGTATTCAAATCACACAACAAATTGAAGTGAGAACTACCTTGCAATGTCCTTGTTTGACAATCAACAGTTAGCGGTTAGCGTTAGCGGATTATATTAGCGAATTTGACCAGCGAATTATATCAATGGTTGTAAAAATATATTTGAAAAAATTAGTTGTTTAGATTAACATGTAAAATGAGCTAAGGGTATACATATAATAATAATAATAATAATAATAATAATAATAATAATAATAATAATAATAATTGTTTTAAAAAATAAAAAATAAAAAATATAATTAAGTCAATCATATTAACTACTTGGGGGATTTATTGACAACAAGAGTATTCAAATCACACAACAAATTGAAGTTGAAAACTACTTGCAATGTCCTTGTTTGGCAATCATCAATTAGCTCTTCAATATTAGTGTATATTTAATATTTTATGCCCTAATTTTTATTTGCTCTCCATTATGTCCCGTATTTGGTTGCAACCATACCTATACAATTATTTTATTGTCAATTATAATCAATCTTGACTATATTATCTTGCATTTGTAATCTTAGAATTGCCTATTTAAATACGTAAATTTAACATTCAATTATCTATGCACGAACAATTTCAATATAATCTTGTCTTGATATACTTTAAAGTACTTATTTTTAAAAAAAAAAAAAAAACATTGGGCATTATCCCAATCGCGCAATGCGCGTAAAAAACTAGTAAGTCTAATAAACTGTAAAATTGAATTTCTTAACTAAAAACAGTTCCAATGAATTCCCCTAGCTAATAATACTTTTATTTTTTATTCTAATTTTTTTTGTTTTTATTTTATTTTTAAATAACTATTCACCGTCTACTTGATAGTCGGTGACTATTTTCGTTGACAGACATCCAGTCAGTGCAGTTGTCCGATCTGACGAAGGTGGCCACCTTCATTATATTTGGACACCCATGGCTGTTTAGTCCATTGTGACGATGTCTAGACCTCATGGTGATGTATAGATTTGGACGCCAATGACTGTCTAGTCCGTTGACAGACAACCTTTCAAATTGAAACATTACTTTCTTCCAAATTTGTGCTACATTTATAATCTCGACATTATTGATTAGGTCCCCTTTCCTATAAAAAAGGACTATGTATCACATGAATATCTTAATGTTGATTTGGAAGTTTGAAAAATATTCTTAGAAAATGATTCAATTTTTTTTTAGAAAAAATATTTTCATTTTCTAGTGTTTGATTAAAAGTTAATTCTTTTTTATATTTAATTCATTCTTCCAAAAAAAAAAAAAAACAAAAACAAAAACAAAATTTTATCACAAGGTTATTTATTATAAAATATTAACTCTTTTATAATGATATTAATAACCATAATAATTGTAATATTAAAAAAAAAAAACATAATAATACTAACTAGAGAAAGTGAGGGAGAGAGTCGAGTCTGAAGTATTGACCCGGAAGATATCATTCGTATAAAAATCTTAAAGGCATTTATTCTTAAAGTGATAATTTTTTCTTTGACCATAACAAACACTTTTATTAATTTTATTTTTCTTAAATACCTAAACGCACAAAAATAAAATCCTAAAAAATAATTTTCAAAGAGTTTTTTCAGAGATAAAGTCCAAAAAGACTTTTCGTCGTCCGTACGAGTGATGCAAACAAAACATACCCCACATTAAAAATATTTTCCTTAGAATTATTAGAGCAGTAAATCATTTAGTATTAATTATGTTCTTGCTTTTTCGGCCATTTAATTCCCATGTGCACAATTCAAGTTTTTTCTCACCTTGGAGAGAAGTAAACAATTTACAATTATTTATTTATTTATTTATTTATTTGGAAATAGTACACAATTAGTTATAATAAACTAGGTTCATGTCTAAAAAGACCTTATGTGATGATTTGATTGCGAGTGTGTTGACATTAATCGAATTCTTGACTTTTAGATACGATAATTATGTTCAACTCACTTGACCGCCCTTTTCAAAGGAGTATATTATTTCTTTTAACGTTGGATGGAGTTATAGTAGTCGGTGAATAAAAATGATTTTATTACAATGTTAAGAGATGAACATTTAAAGCGAAAAACATTGTTGTATATAGAATATCAAAGAAAAGTATATGTATCCATTTTGTTAACATTAAATTCAATTCAATCAATGCAAATTGTATGGGGCTATATACTATTGGAAGTGTAAAGTGAGCCGAAAAGTATATGCATTTATAAAAATAGGTTCTATTATATACAAGGTAAAGATCATCTCTTGTTAGTTGTCATATTATGGAGTAAAAGTGAGAGAGTAAAGATTATAAGTACATGTAGTAAAACTCTATTCAAAATTAGTGTCACTTCTAAATCACTTAAACAAATATCTTATTTCATTAATAAATATTATTTTTTCACAATTATTCCCTTTTATCAATAATAATAATAATAATAATAATAATAATAATAATAATAATAATAATAATAATAATAATAATAATAGGAAAAGTACATAACTGGCCCACAATTCTGACACCAAAATTTCATATTTTGAAATCTTTGAAATGGTGGCATTTAAAGAAAATTTAAAAATTCTAAAAAAATGCCGACAAGGAGGGCAATTGGAGAGACTTTCAACGCGGTGAGCATAGCCAATAGGAAAATACATATGTATTCTAATTTTCTACTTTCAACTTTTATTTTCACAAACAAAATCTTAATGTAGATAATTGGAGCATGTGTTTCATCTCAACTAAAAAGCTTAAGCTTGCGGGTGGCGCTGAGTTTCAAACTCATAACATTTGGTCTGGTTCTGATATCAAATTAAAGCATGTGCTTCATCTCAACTAAAAGCCTAAACTGATAGTTGGATAAACATTAATAGATATATGCTCACATAGACACTTATATTAGGACCCATATCCAAAAAGCAACTTATCAATATCTGTCACATCATAAAGTAAAATTTAGAGAGTATGATTTGAGAGTCTATGTATCAGAACTCTAACCAATAATATGTTATTATTGCTCCTTTGTTTTATATGTGTTGGAGCAATCATATCATATCATAAAAACAAGTACAATGCCAACTGTCAACCCCTGTTCTTGTAAATACTGAACTTCAGAAAGTACCCAACTACCTATACTGTACATATATCATTTTCGCTGTACATATTGATTATGTACTTTGTAATTTTTATTGAGTAAAATGTTGATTACGTGATTTTATTAATAAAGAATTAAGTTAATAAAAACTATGAACCGTTTTTCTTACTTGATGAATAAGAATATGTCACGTAAGTAATGGTAAAAAAATATCCTTAATAAATTTGTTTAATTTAAATAAATGTAATTTTTACTTCTAAACTAGAATAAATTAGGGCAAATTATTGTATGTACCATGATCCATACAGTGCTGTGTGGCCCGTAATAAAAAGTACATTTTAATATATTAAATGTACATTATTTGTGTATTGAATGTACATTATACAATATAATGTACATTTAGTACACAAATAATGTACATTTCATAAAGAGTAAATACTTAAAATGATCCCTCGACTATAACTAAATTCACAAATTGGTCATTGACTTTTAATTTTAACCAATTAAGTCCTTAACTTTGCAATTTTAACACGATTTGGTCATTCGTCTATTTGACCGTTTGTTGACTGTGATTTTTGAGGATATATATGTAATTTCATGGTCCATCGTCGATTTTTTAAGGTTCCGGTTGTATTTTCAGACCGCACTGTTACATTTGGATCCACTGTCGAAAGCAATCTGCCAAATCCTGTCGCCTTTCTTCATCCTCCCTTTGGATTCAATGTAGTTGAGTTCGTACCAGAGTGAAGAAGACAACGTGTTTTCAAACCGGTGCAGGGTCATCCTGGAGGCCTCCATGTGCTCCGATGAGAGCTGCAGGTTCTTCTGGAGATCGTTGATGACGGCGCGGGTGTGGGCGTTAATGCAGAAGTGTTCGAAGGACCAAATCGTGTTAAAATTGCAAAGTTAAGGACTTAATTGGTTAAAATTGAAAGTCGAGGACCAATTTGTGAATTTAGCTATAGTTGAGGGACCATTTTAGGTATTTACTCTTTCGTAAACATAATGTACATTTTTAATATATTAAAAATACATTATTTTTGTACTAAATATACATTATTATACAGTATAAAAAATATGGTCCACACAATAATGATTGATAAATTAGTCGGTGGTTCTTGTAATATCATAGCTCGAAACATGGTAATAAGAATAGTGACATTTGTTAATCTTTACTTTTTTTTTTGGTAGAGTTGTTAATCTTTACATTGAATATGAATATAAAGTTACATATATTATTTATTTTTTAAATAAAATCGTTTTACACAATCTCACATGACAATAATTTTTTATTTATTTTTTATATTCATTGGTTACTACAAATTGGCCATTCCTACTCATGTTAAAAAAGAATTAAACTTATTAATCTTTTTTTTTTTGGAAAAAGAAAAAGTTATCATATATTGAGGTAGAGTTTAACATTAACACATTGCACAACTTGGTCTCATGTCTGGGGTCTCTACTCTCTGGCCAAAAGTTACTCTAAATAAAACTAGAGAAAATTTGCAACCAAAGAGAAACTTAGGTGAGCAGAAGCATCATTCTGGTGAAACACAATAATAATAATAATAAGCCAAAAGAAGAGTTATGGAGTTGAAAATAATACATTAGAGAAGACCTGAAGAAGATGAGGTGTGCATTCACATTGTATCTGCCAATCCAACCACAGCATCCTGCACAATCTCTTCCAACAATTTTCCTTCGATTTCCTTTCCTATACTTTCCGCTTCTAATCTCAAGTATTCGTGCCACCCTTTCCCGACCGCCTCCTGTCTCACCATCCTCTCGGTCAGGTTGTTGTCGTCAACGCCATCGTCCGAGAGGCATCCCGCCGCGCTAGGAAACCATTCCTTTATCCTTCCCCAAACCCGGTCCGCTGATATAATTGAAGAACCATCTGGGATGGTGTTATGGGCACCGCTGAAAGCAATGGTTTTGTGGCAAGTGTCTATGTCGATCAGTGCCGCATTGACACAATCAAACACGAGCTTTCTAGTTGATCTCCTTTGCCTTCGCTTTGCTTCATGCACTGTTTCTTTCTCGTTCAAATTGATGTACTTGTCCCTTAGTAATGGGTCAAGTGGGCTATCTGGGGAATGCCATCTCGATGAAAGTGAATCAGATTGTACTTCGTCGAGACCAGCCATGGATAGTAAGGTCTGAATGAAGAAGAGCCATTCTCGTTCTTCTTCCTCGGTCCTTTGCATTGATACTGGTGGGTTAAGTGAATATGATGACGTGGCTGTATCTACACAAGAATCATCCCATGATAGAGTACGGGCAACTGATCCTATTGGAGGAGATTTGTCTATTAGATTGGACCTAATGGGCTGAAAAGGCAACTCTCCCCCTGTTTGTTTGAATAAAGCAATCAGAAAACATATTAAAAAGAAACAGAAGAATTCCTGCAATCTGAAGAAAGAATTTTACCACGACGGTCTGCCTTGATATTCCCAAGTGATAATTGTGCCAAATGTTCATCCTCCTCAAATGATGTCTCCAAAACTGATACAGGACTTGGTTGATCGTGGTTCTCACTCGGATTTCCAAAAGGCAAAGACAGTCCAAACTGCAGAATTTATCACAATTTTTTTTCTTTGAGTTTTAAATATTTGTAAAGAAGTTATGCCAACTCCATTTACCTTTGTTGGCAAAATTCAATTTTGATAGCGAAAGCAAAATAAACAGACAATAAAACATGAAAGAACAAAAATAGGATAAATTTGAAAAGTATAGGTGGAGTGTGGAAATAAGTTGTCTATTTGAAAGCATGGGATTATTTAAAAATAAAATAAAATTGGGAAAGCAATTAATAAAAGTCAACCACATAGAAGATGGGCTTGCTAATATATGCTGAATTACCTCTGAAGAAACCAAGCCTTGCTTTTCAACCAAATCCGGAGAAGTTGCTTCACCTGATGATTCACGCAGATCAGGTGATGAGCAATCAAGCCCTGTGCCATTGAGGCATTCACTTCTGTTGTTATCTACTTTTGCAATAGAATGTGAAAGCTTTCCACCAGAATGAGATTCATCTGTTCTAGGCTTTTGTTTGCAGAGTTTTTTGTTCCTTGAGAAGAACAAACTCGAAACTTTCCCCTTTAGCAATGACTTTGTGCTTCTTTCCTTTGTTTTTTCTCTGGGAACATCTGTTATTGCTGTCTCTGGTTGTGAAGTGTCCAAATTCAAGTGGGAAGCAAATGTTGTAGAAGATACAGGAACAGATTTTGATCTCACGAGATTCTTTGGCATACTATCAATGCCTTCATTCTTGTTTGTATCCTCAACTGGACAACAATTCAAGTCCCTAGGTCCTTTTTTGCCCTCCCCCTCAGCTGTTCCTGGCTTCTTTGCATCAGAAAGAGCAAGCATCTCACCTAGAGTACTAGAGCTTCTACGGAGATGTCTCTGTTCTTGATGACTTCGATGAGATGTCACCATGGCCCATCTTTCAGAAAGTCGTTTTTTTGCTTCTCTTGATACAGATGATTCTGGAGAATAAGATGCACGGCTCAAGGAGGAGCAAGAATAAGGACTGTTAAACCTATTAATGTAATCCCACGAGTGCCTAGACATCGGTGACATGACTTCTGAATCACTGAGGTTCATTGCTGCATACTCATTTTCTGACTTGTTGAATGAACTCTCATCACCAATATATCCATTTGAGAACACTGAAGAAGAAAGCAAAGTTTCATCCCTTCGATGCCCAGCTAAATTTTCACGCATCTGTTGTGTGATTGATTTTGCCACTTCTCTTGATTCTTGAGCATCATTATCTTCGGGAACACCAACAAACTTGTTTCCATGTAATACTCTTGGTGATGTGCAAGGTGGGGAACTCAAAGCTTTGAGTTCATGAGACTTCACAGTGCTTGGTTTTAGTACTACTATTCGAGTTGGTTGAGTGACACTAGTGTCAGTTTTCCAACTAGCTGCAGGAGAAGAAAGATCTGGATGGGTTTTATCTATTCTGTTCACTTGGCTGACCTGGTTGGTTCTCTTCATCACATTTTCATTCTTCCCCGTTCCAATAAATTCGCAATTATCGACCATCTTGGATGGTTTAAGAACAGTTATCCGCTTGGTCTCAGAAGGAGCAGGAATAGACTGCAAATTATATATATGCTCAGATAACATGGGCTTTGGTTCTTGCAGAAATTTAAGGACCAGATCGGTGTTTGAACTCAAAACTTCCAATGCATCTTGGAATTGCCTAGAGTGATGACATTTTTCATCTAGAGATAGGCATTTTGCTTCAATGAACTTCTGACGGACAAAAGCCACCTTGTCGGTTGAAGTTTCATTACATCTTCCCATCTGGGGTGATTTACTTCTCATGGAGTTCATATCGTGTCGATTCTGCCAAACCTCATAAACATCTTTGCATTCATTCTGCTCTGGATATTGATAAAACTCACACTCCATTTGCGTGTCTAAGGATCCACTTCTGTGGTGGAAATTATTCAAAGGTGTACCCTTAGCACTTTGTGCATTCCTTCCAGAATAATTTCTTTGAGCAGTAGAAACTGGTAGCTGAGATGGAAAACCGTCAAGCCCCATTAATTTGGCTACAACACTAGGTGGATTATGCTTGGAGGCCATGTCTTTGGACATCTCTTCTGCTATAAGCATCTTCATTGGTGTTCCATTTGCTTTCATTTTTGAATTATTTCTCCTCAATTCAGACACAATCTGCACGTACCATTTCAAAGAAATATAAACCAGTATTAAAGATGAGCTCTGAAAAACCCCATGCTGCTTATTCTTGATCACCAAACTGAAAGATATACCTCTTTATCCTCAATTTGATCCTCACTTGGAGACATCCTTGCCACATCTGATTGGCTCCTCGAGAGGGAACCTTTAAAATCAATTACATACAAATGAGTTCAACAAGCCTAGGAAAAGAAGCCGTTTCTGCATAATGCAGTTCTTTTAGCATTTCATACTTTATGCTACAGCTTGTCAGTTCAATCACACTGTCAAAGAATAAGCCTACAGGACAACTATGAACTCTGGGGATAATTACGACTCCTTTTGGAGAAGTAATTATTACTAGTTGCAAGCAATCCTCACTTAGGAAACTAAAATAACAGATGCAACATATCAATTGTCAAAGAAGAGAAATATGAAAATAGGATTCACCATCTCTATGAGGTTTATCTGTGAGCAACCTGTTCCCTGCAACACCGCCATTCAAGTCAAAAAGGTTTACCATTCTTCCCAAACATCCTGGAATTGGTTTCTCAAGACCGCGATTTTTGCCATTCTGAACAGCATACATCTCAGCTGAAATATAATAACATTTAAAAGAGTAAATCTCATTGCAAAAGAATACTTGGCCTAAATGACTAATCTCAATTTGCTACTTCCTATCTCCATATCCAGAAAGGGGCAGGCTTTGCACTTTAAGATATGAAAAACCAGTAAAAATAGTAGTGGCTAACTGGCTATGGAACATGGAGGTAAACAAAAGAGAAATAGGAATCTACTACAGTTTCGACCAAAATCTACCGACTAAAATAGAGCAAAAAATAAAACCTTGCATATATTTACACCTCCATGGCTCCATTACAGAAGTCCTGATTTACTAAGCTAGAATCCAAAAATATGACATTTGGGCAATTAAAAGAGAGTAATATCTTTATACACAATCAGAAGCAAATCGGAGAGGACAAAAAAGAAGAAATGAAATAATGAATCGACTAGATCTGCAGAAGAAAACAGATTCCATGGTTTATGCAAGAAATACCCCCCAGAATTTACCATTCACTGTAAATTTTCACGAACTTCACATCAACTATTCCCAGAAAAGCATAAAGAACTCCCAAGTGCAAACAAAGAGAAGGAACATAACGTGGGGGAAAAAAAAAAAAAAAACTAATTGTAACGGTCCAATTACAAATATTTAACTAAATATACTCAATATCTCCAAAAAAATAAAAAATAAAAAATTGCTTAACATGCGTTTTTGAGCAGTAGAAATGATTATATTGTAAACAAAATCATAGCAGTAGAAATAAGAGCTAAATGTTAGAATCTCAACACAAAAATTACTCTGGTAAAAAGCTGAAATTTGAGCAGAAAAAAAAAAAAAAAAAAAAGAATAATCCAAGGAAAAAAAAAAAGGTGGGGGGGAGTATCGAAAATCAGATTCGATTTGCCTCCGAAAGGCGAGATCGAAAGGGAAACCAGAAAAGCATAAATGAGCAACGCTACTGAAAGTACTGTTAGAAGCTTTACAGTGTCGAAGCAATGCGAAGCTCTGACAATGCCGCAGCCGAAGATTCCGCAAGCCGGACACAGCCGGAAGCGCGTAAGGTTTAGATAGAGAAAGTAGATACTCGCAGTGAGAGAAAACGAGCGGAGGCCGAGAGTGTCGCCGGAGCCGAGAACCGAGTCGCAGGGAAACCGCTTTCCGGAGGGAATGTCGCCGGAGATTCTCCGATTACCGGTGCCGGAATAGAGCTTTCATCGTCAGCTGTCCACCGACTATATGTCGGACTATTATTTATTCCAATTTATTTATGGGACTTTTGAGAGAGAAGCCAAAATGAAGTGAAGTTTTTCTATAAATAAATATGAAATAAAAATAAATAAAAAAATATAGATTCTTCAATAAATACACTCCAAGATGATTGTTTTTTCTCCGCGACATCCTTTCAGTTTCTGATAATTCTGCTCGAGCCCCAACTTTCATAATTTTATAAAATATTAGTCCACCTGTGGACAACGTCTGTTTACAATAACTATTATGAGCTTGCTATTATCTGTCATTATCTTGCAATTATAGAATGGGTATCCCACCGGCGTTATGCTGTTCAGTTTTTCGTTTCAGTAACGTAACGCCCCCTCCCCCCTCCTTTATTGTATTTTTATGTGGATTAAAAATATTTAAATTATTTTATGTATTGAAAAATATTATACTTTATTATGATATACATTTATTTATTTTATTGAAATGGTATTGCAGTCACCTTTTTTTTTTTTTTTTTTTTGTGAAAAATTTTATAGTAGTTTGATTCCAAATAACTTATGAGCTTTTTTCTTGTACAAACCTCACATATCAAGACTAATTATATTCGTGTCCTATTTGATTTTCTAAGTCAGAGTACACTAGGATTCCATACACTGAAACAAATTATGTTTGTGTTGAGTAAGACTTCAAAGGGTGAGTAGTTACATTCTCATGTTCAAACATGATACCTTTGATTAAGTTGAAAGAGATTCACACTATCTTATTCACATCTCATGAACAAATAACTATTCAGTATTAGTCTTTGAAAAAAAATAAAATAATAAACAAACAAACAAACAAACTTTTTATGAGCTTTTCTACCATATTAACAATATATGTATAATAAAATGATATACATGTTAAGATAATTGGATTATATTATTAGGTACTAATATGATATCGACAATACCTTATGCAATACGAAAAAAATATTTAGTTGTATATGATATTATTATCAACACCAATGTTGAATGGTATTCTATAAATTTTTAATTTTGTATAGTTGTATAATTATATGGAACAAATTGGATAATGGGTATTTTTTAATATGTTCCTAATCTCAATCATCATTGGAATGATTTATTCTTACTTTTCATAATTCAGGGAATCATTTAATAATGCATTATGGCTCATGAAGAATTGTCAATTGCTATTAGTCTACCCAAGATTTGATATAAAGATACAGACACACACACACAACATACCTAACAAAATTTCTTTAGTATTTGGTGAATGTTACATTACTCACATATTTCTTTTCTCTCTTATATATGTGTACGTACGCTATGGAGTAATATTTTCGTGGAGTAATAAATTACAAAAATATAAATATATCAACTTAAAACAGTTGATAAAGAAACTGTTAATAAGGTTAGAGGTTGTGGATACTCAATGTTGTATGCCAAAAAAATTACGAGAAGTCTTAAAAGGGTAGACCGAGTAGGTGTAGTATGATTATAGTACAAGAAATTAACAAATTCGATTGTTATCAACACCAAATTGATAGTGTCCATTACACATTATCTTTCTAGTGCAATTAACGTATTCTGTGTTATTTAAAAGCAATACAAGAGCAGGGTTTACTTAACGTACACTATCAGATACTAACTACAAATTTTTATTTCACTGAAAATAAAAATTACAAGAGTAAAAAGAGATTTAATTAAGACACTATCTTTTTATTTTTAGTTTTAGAGCGTATTAGATAATAATGTCATACGACATCATTAAATGATTTTAAATATGGTTCAATAAATATAGAAAAAAAAAGTAAAAACTGTAAACAGTTTTAGTTACTTATAACTTTTTGTTATTGTGATTTAATAGACTTCAAATTCAAATAAATTAATCCAAAATGTTGAATCCCCAATCTTAATGACTCTCCACACTATGATCTGAATCATAGTGACTAAATGTCGGTGCGCACAATGAATCTGTTCACTTTAGACATAATCCTTACACTGCCGCTGCCGAAATTCGAACATTAATACGGAGTATCTTTTTTTAAATACTGTCTACTGAACCAGTGAGTTAACACCGAGCAAATTGGGCATATAGATAAATTATACTCCGTATACAGATAAAAGTGCACCTAATACAACCTGGCGTGTGATGGGCTAATTGTCCGGTGGGTGATACAAGGCCTTATCAGTGATCGGTTAAAAGTCACTTTGTTGTGTAATGCGGCATTGTTTCGACACTTTTGCAGGAATCAAAACAAAAACGCACGTACACAAAGTTTCGTAATCCACAGCAAGAAGAAATTGGCAAAACTTCAGCTAACATGTGGGCCCCTACTCTACCTACCATCCCACTTGCTCCCTCTTTAACCGCCCGCGTTCCATTCCATTCACATCTTACCACATTTACACATATTTACAATTAAGGACCATGTTATGCACTCGTATGTTTATCATTCATAGACATTCACTTTTTAACTTTTTTTTTTTTTTTTGAAAACCATTTTTAACGTTAAAGTTGCATGTTTGAGATGTGAATCATGTGATAATTGTATATTTGGGTATTTATTACATAATTCTAATATGATATTTTGCTACATTAGAATGTGTGTGAAGGACAATTGTACAGATGTTTTTCTTGTACAAAATCAGTGAATAAAATTCTTAACACGTATCTTAATTTTATTATAGAAAAATAAATAAAAATTATGACTCACTTTTGTAATGAATCAATGTGTTATGTCAGCATGAAATAAAAAAGAGTAAAAAGCAAGAGTGTATATGTAGTATATTCTATTTATAATTTTTTTTTTATTAAAAACTAATATTAATAAACAAAAAAAATTTTAAAATGTTAAATAACAAGAATGTCAACTATTATAAATAAGAACAAAAGCATCAGGCCAACTAAGAGCAACCACATTTTTTATTTTTGGATGAGTTTTTTCATAACAAAAACATGAGGGGTGAGTTTTTTGCTAATGGAGGGATGAGTTTTTAATGGATTTTTATTTTTGTAAATATAATTTTTTGTGGGACTCACAATTAAAGAAAATATTTACAAAAAGACACGCTACTTGTGCATAGGGGGAAACTACCGCGCCTAACTGATTAGTGCATGTGTCAGCTGAGCGCATAATATATATATATATATATATATATATATATATATATATATATATATATATATATATATATATATATATATATATATATAAAAGTACTTGACAATGATATTGGACTATAGTTCAATAAATTGTAACTAAAGTCTATGGATGAATTTATGATTTAACCTAATATTTTGAATTAAGTTTCTATATTTATTTGCCCATACCTAATGCTCAAACTACCTTGTATCGTACTTTCTTTTTTAAACACTAGCCATTGATGCAAGGACACCTCATTACCTAAGGTAACAAGTACATACAACTCAATCACAAAGTTATTTACAATGTTAGAGTTTGTATTAATTAATTCACCTACATATTTAAAGAACAAAAAAAAAGAAAGTAATTTAAAGAACAAAAAAGGAAAGTGATTAAAAAAAAAGAAACAAACAAACAAACAAAATACTAAGGTAGTCATTAACTTATGCCCAACAACATCCTTTTGGTACAAATAACTTCATTTTTTTTTTCTCACTAGAAACGCTCTTACAATGGATCATTTCATCAGATTTATTTCTTTTGAAAATCTATAGATTTTTGTTCAACACAATAAACTTAGTATAAAATCAGAATTAGTGGATAAACATAGAATTATGGAGGATAGGGAATTGGGAATGAAATAGAGTGAAGGAACATCAAACACATTAAACATGAGTTGAAACTGAAGTTAATCAAGAAAAACATATTAAGACTAATTAAGATCAATAAAAATTACGATGAAACACATATTTGATGATTATGCAAATGAGTAAGTGAATGATTAAAGAGATTAATTGATTAAAAATGCCACATGTTCACCACGGAGTATGTTTGATTTTTTTTAAAGCATTTATTATATTTGGTGCACCTATCTTATATACGGAGTAATTAAAATCCGACCTAGAACGAAACAAATCAAAGAGAATTTGAAAATGAAATTTCTTGCTGACTTTTAGCTACACGGTTCACATATCAAATTGTACCTCATTTGTGCACGATATTCCTGTGCGCTGGTGAGCATCTTTTGATTGCACACCTCCCCAAGTTTGACTCCTTCGTACCATAATTTTCATGGCTTACATATTTTTTGGAGCTTCGAAGAGAAGATCCTGTAAAAAGGGTACTTGCAGATCATCATATCATAATTTACAAGTTACCAATAATGAAAATGTTGGTAGCAAATATCAATAATTTATTTAACATATAAAAAATGATACCCAATTGATTGATAAAAGTCCTGGTTATAATATAACATGCAAATTATATCATGCACTAGAGTCTACCTTGCATTGTAAGCCCTGATCCAAAAATAACCTTCAGATTCTATATTTATAGTTGACGCATTCTGTACATGTTGATAGTTTTTGTACCTGTAGCTATCATATTATGTGTCAACAATTATCAATTCTATTATTGACACATTCTGTACCTGCAGTTGATAGTTTATGTAACTGTAGCTATCATATTATGTGTCAACAATTATCAAATTATTTGTTTACATGTACAGAAACTGTTAATTGTAGGTACAAAATGTGTTAACTGAAGATATATAATTTTTGTATCAGAATTCACAATGTAATATAAACCTAAGTCCATGTATAAAAATTGACTATAACATGACGGTGCAATTCAAGATCTAACCAAATCCACCTTGTATTTCTTTATCATGGGGACCAATCCATTGAAATCCATAGATTTTTCTTTTTGGTGCAAAGAAAGAAAGACAATTAAAAAAAAAAAAAAAACAAATATCTAAACCATTTCGAACAAGCAAAATCAGCAAAGAGGTGTAACTTTAAACCACTAAAGAAAATATCACGTATCATAAAGAAGAGAATAATTATAACTCATTATCTAATCTGTACATTTATTAATTTCCATATGAAAAATTATTAATCTGGAAGTGAGGAAAAAGTATTTAAAAAAAAAAAAGGAATAGTGGTCTATAATCAGAATTTTACAAAATCTTCAATGGGCCATATTAGAAATCAGCTTCAACTATCTAGTGGCTTATAGAAGGGGAGAGCACTGGGAGTGAAAGGGACTGCTACCCGATTTAGGCATGGTATCAGCTCCTCTGATTTTGCTCAATTAGGTTCAAGTGGTTACAAACAGTAATCTTTTGTCTGTATTAAGGGCATCATTTTTACCGCTTACAATGATAATACGGTACTCATAAAAAATTGAACTATGTAAGTGATAGCTTACCATGTTGCGAATTGCAATAATGGTATGCTAATTAATCATATAGATGTTTATTCAAAGATTACTAACCAAGAATCTAAGTAGTTTGGACATTCGGTATGCAGATTGCTAATGTAACAGCAAAGTCAAAAATTCTACTATGCACTATGTTAAAGAACTTTAAGCTAGACCTTTTCTGAATAAGAGTTAAACTTTGCAAGTGCTATCCATGTCAAATCTGAATTATTTTTATAGTTGTGAGATTATTGACAAATTATACACTACATCATGATCCACATTGTAAAATGAATCACTAATAATAAGTTCATTTTGCGTGTTATAAATTTATTTTTAGGTAGTATACTAAAGATGAATTTATAGTACATTAAAAATAAACATGTATCAAAATATAATGATCATACTAAAAATAAATATGTAATACAGTAAAAATAAATTCACATTATACTAAAAATGAATATGTATGTCATGGTCCATAAAATAATGATGGGAGATTATTAATTAACCAAGTCTAGTTTAAACAGTTATGAGACTCATAAGCATGATGGGGGATTCCCGTAATTTGAGCAATCCTCATTAACATGGCATCAGGATCTATAATCATGTAATTGGAACTAATTTGGGTTAGATTAAAACAAACAAGCAACTGAGGACAAAAACACAAAGAAAATTAGACAGTTAAATCTGGAGTGGGACCTACCTGAATCATTATAATTATTGTATTTAATTATATAATGGACGTGTTTTCTTTTCTTGTAACATCATCATTAAGGTCACTAAGCACCATTGATTCATCTGTGCACAGAAAATGACACAACATTACACTGATCCAAATTTCTCCACTGCCCAACTAGTCAAACTATAACAGTATCAGATATATGGCATATATACTCCATGGTGAAGAAAATTTGTTTGGGATCAAGAAAGCAGCTGAATCATGACAGACGATTTTGCAGGTGTGAAGATCACATGAGGTGAAGGACTAAGGATCCAAAAACGACCACATAATCTATGCTTTACGACAGTATAATCAGGCAGACAACATAGGGTTGGCTCTGTTCAGGAAGAAAACACATGAACTGTGATTTTTTTTTTTCTCTTTGCAATAAATTTCTCTGTTATTCTTTTCCCCTCCAGTCAAAATAGTACTCCATACTACGTTGTTGGAATCAATTCATAAAAAGAATATTACATAGACTCTCATTCTCTACTTTTAATTTTTACTTTATAGTCTACACTTAAACTCTCAACGTAAGCATTTTTTTAAACCTATACAATGAAAATACATTATCATTGCTCCGAAAATCAAAAAATAAAAGTGAGGGAATAAAAATTGAGAGAATGTGTAGTAGACTACTCTCTACTCATAGTACTGATAAGTATTAAATTACGATACATACTCTCAATTTATACTTCATCACTTTCATTCCTTAATGTGACAAACAATGGAAAGATATTTTCATTATATGCGTCAACAAAGTGTCAACATTAAGAGTTTAAGCATCGTAAAAAAATTAAAAGTAGAGAAAAATAGTAATTGGAACTTTTATATATATATATATATATATATATATATATATATAGTCTGCCTCTCTCATGAGAACTAGGCTTCTTATAAAAAATGTGAATAAGTGCAAACTAATAATTTAGTATATCTAACAGTTGAAAAATAAGAAAAATTTAAAAAAATGTGGGTCAATTTCATAAATGTTGTAAACTTTAAAAGTTTATAATATTTATAAAATTGATCATGCTCTTCTTTTTTCTTCTTATTTTTTAACCATTGATCATTCTAAATGAATTATTCATATGAGTACGTTCCATACTTCTCACATAAAAATATAACACGTATATTTTTAAATTTTGAAGTAATGTCACTTTACCTAAATTTCCATATACCAAAAATGCTAACAATAAAAATAAAAATAAAGCTAAATAAAAACACCTTCTTTTTTTTTACATATAACATTCAATATTCAATTACTGAGATTAATTGACTTACCAACCACTAAGCTACTGGTTGGTAATTTATTAATTAAAAAAAAAACCTAAACTTTCCATAAAAATTTATTTCTTTAAAAGGATCAAACAAGCACCAATTGATTCTAGCAACGGCAAATGACAAAAAAGGACTAATATTTTGGCCAACCCAGAGTTATGGTGGGTGGGGAAGGGTGGGGGTTGGGGGGACCATAGAGTCTGGAGTCCGTGTAGGGCAGTGCCAGATATGGTGTCACATCTCTTGTCCACATTGGGTCAGGAAAGAGCGGTGTGGTCTTTTAAAAAAATACACCCTCCTGTTGTCGCGTGATGAATAATGGACACTTAGAAAATAATTTACATTTGGCTGTTGACTTTTGATCAACACCAAAATTATGGCTGCTTTCTCCTAAAGCATGTTTCTCACTCTCATATATATAATAGTTAAAACACTAATTCATTGGACAAATGTGAATACTTAGAAAACAGGAATTGACAAATCCCTGATTTTGGTCACTGTTACCATCGTCTTTCCTCTTCCACCCCCACCACATGGGTGTTAGGTGGTCCTGGTTTACCTCATCCCAAAGCTAATGTGGGTGCATTAAAGACATTTTAGATTTAAGTGACCGCTGCTTCATATACCTTAGGGATAAGAATTTTAGGACAATGATGGACTTGGATCCAACATCAAGGGGCTCAAGAACTAAAATTTTGAACCAAGGAGTGGACCAAGGGAATAGACTAAGGCAATTATTATTCCAGCAGAGTAAAGCCTACTAAAGGACACCTAATAACTTGATTCCACGCTTCCCTGATTCAAGCCTTATCCAAAACAAAAAAATGAAATGATTATTTAGAAATTCTTTCTTGTATACTTGTGGAAGTAACTGAAAGAAACAAATTGCAAGTCTGACATTTAGTCACAGACGACTGCAAATGTGCCCTTAGGTTCAGGGAGATGATTTATTTTCTAAAGTCTTGGCGGGAAAGTAGGAAAATCAATGTACACTTTGAATTTATGGAGCTATTAGCTGAGAAATTTTAGATATTATTTTGCAATTGAAGTATTCAAAGAAGGCTGGAGAAATGAGGGGCAGGAAAGATAATTAAGGTATTCAGAAAACTAGTATAAATGTTCAACCCTGGCTGTGCTAAGCTGATATGTTTCAGTAGTTTGACTACACGTCACGGGTCTATGGCTAATAGAAGAAGATGGTTTACCTATGGGGGCTGATGATAGTATGAGAGAGGAGAAGTTGGAGGAAGAAACTTCCTTTTGATTTTATTCAATTTCCAACTCACTAAGACAATCTAATATTCTCCCTATATATAGGAGTTAAAAGCTTAAGACACAAGGAAACAATATATATTCTAAAATACGGTTACTTAAAGTGAAAAAGACAACTACTAATAAACTAGGAAATAAGATAACTAAATTGATTTTAGCAGATTGGCAGCCCAGGGTCTGTATTGTATCATAAGCAAAGTAGTATACAAGAGTATGAAGTAAATGTCACTAAATGGGATCTTACGATGGAGGAGAACGCATAAGTCTCTTTATGAGGCTAAAGAAATTACGCTTGTATGTTGTTTAGACTAAACTATTCCTCACAGAATTATTAGCTTGTTCATTTATCTAAATTTATTGATACTAAAAATATGCTGACCAAAATACAGAAACGGATGGAAGAAACACACAACTTAAAGGGCTAAGAGGCAACAATGTACATACATGTATTTACTTAACCAAATGTAGGGGGCAAGAAGTGCACCTGAATCTTCAGCTACGCTCTCATTCATTAGAAGAGCCAAGATATGTTCCTTCTTCTGATCTAGCACAGATTGAGTCCTTAAGCAACAAAGGACATCCAAGCATTCTGTTAAAAGATGTTTGAAAGTTACAAATTGGCTGCTCATAAAAGTCAAATGCTTCTCCTCGAAAATCAACTACTGTTGAATTTGAACTGCCTAAGTTCCATGCTTCCTCCAACTTAGTATATGCACTTCTATAAGAATGTTGACTAGAATGATTTCGCCGGGAGAAACCAGTTGCTAGTAAGCTGTTCCATTCTGAATTGTTCGGTGCCATAGGCAAAAGGAAAGCATTAGAATTTAGATGACACTTCTCACTGAAAACCTGGACTGGACCATCCCAAGGATAATCTAGAAAATAGGAAATGGCATTGCCACTATAACCATATTCTTCAGGATCAAGATATTCTGCGGATAAGCAGTCTGGGTCTGTGATTGCATATTCATTATACTGAAGATTCCTTCCAAAATCCCTGGTATATAGTTCCTCTTGCAAACTGGTTGAATGGAAATCTGGCAACACGCATAAATGTGGAGAATGGTCAGAAAACAAGGATGATGAACACAATGCCATTGTATTGTGCCCGGTGTCTATGCTCTTGTGGAGATCAGCATCCCTCAATGTTACAATTTGCAAATCCATTTTGTCCTCACAGCAGTCAGCATTTATTGCTATTTCAGGTTTGTCCCTCTCATCAAAATCCCAATCCAGCAACAAGGCGTGATGTTCCCTTCTTGAACACAATGCCATTGTATTGTGCCCAGTCTCCATGCTCTTTTGGAGATCAGCATCCCTCAGTGTTACAATTTGCAAATCCATTTTGTCCTCACAGTAATCAGCATTTATTGCTATTTCAGGTTCATCTCTCTCCTTATCAAAATCCCAATCCAGCAACAGGGCTTGAGGTTCCCTTCTTGAACACAATGTCATTGTATTGTGCCCAGTGTCTATGCTCTTGTGGAAATCAGAATCCCGCAGTGTTGCGATTGGTGAATTGATTTTGTCCTCACAGCACTCAACATCTAATGTTATTTCAGGTTCATCTTTCTCGTTGTCAAAATCCCAATCCAGTAACAAGGTTTGAGGTTCCCTTTTTGGAGATTCATCCAGAGAATAAAAGCTATCTGGTTCCATAAGATGATACCGATCAGTAAATCCAGATCTCCCAAACAATAAGTGCACAGGTGAATCAATGTGTTTCAACAATCTTTTAGTTGTTTCACTTTTTGAACCATGACTATTATCCACCATTTCATTGTGTGAAACAGTATTTGCATTGTATTTGGTGAAACAATTGTCAGAAGCAAAGGCAGGGCAATCCACAGGGAATATCTCTATTGTCCCAATAGACCAACTGGGAAGTTCACTACTTTGGCATGTTTCATATTCTGGTTCAGTTAAGTCTATCCTGTAACTTTGATGGTGCCTCATCTCTGATGGATCTGACTCTGTTAGAACAGGTGAGCAGCCGGTATTGTCTTTGTGCTTTGAACCCTGACAACAATGTCAAAATCAAGTATCAGCACAAAATCAAGAACAGTCAAATGGTAATGCACTTTCTGCAATGGCAAATGCAAATCATACTTTGTTCTCATTGAGACCTGGGGAAAGACGGCTAAGGAGCAAAGTCACCATATCATACCTGGAGGAAATCTTAAACGAATTAGTATATTTATCATTGGAAAATGCAAAATGGACCATTTAGCAGCACCCATTTGCCATTATACTAGAATTGAAAAAAATGATTTGCTGACCCCTTGGAACTGAAGTTCTCAGTGCCAGATAAAGCCGTTTCTGCCCACAGACGTAATTTCTGTCTCTTTGCAGAAAAAACTTCACTCGCCAAGCAGTGGCTATCTAATGCTCAATTTGAAGTCAGTAATCCTTGCAAAGCATACAGAAGACCTAAGAAGAGCATCAAATGCATAATTACAGTTTGAACCTGAAAATTTTAGAGCAACTTGTGGTGATAACTGCAAATTTTGATCTAGTGTTGTGACATTCTTAGGATGTGAAATTCTGGGCCTACTGGACATGCCTGCATTATTACAAATTATTAGTAAATCATAATAAAATTAAAAACATTAGAAGAGGTGAAGGAATGTAAATTACTGATAAGAGCATTGATTATTATTCCCACCTCACCTGGGCTCTTGCATCTTCCATTTTCAGGCGAGACAAATGGGCACTGGTTATTAAGGCTTACTTTTTCTGATTGAACTGACAAGTTGATGTCTCCAATATGGCAATTCAGCATGTTGGATTTTCTCAAGGCCTCTTTCAATTTATAAATAAAGAATCAAGAAAGTCAGATTTTAAAACCTTGAGCAGTTCAATTGTTCATTAAAAAAAAACCTTCAATGGCACCTTATTTTTAGGGTATATATTACACTTATTGTTTATGCATTGTGGATGAAGTGAAAAACAAACAGGATTAGTTACAAATAGAAAGGAGAACATACTGCTAGTGTAATCATTAGTTTTACACTTCTTCAGTTTTTCCTTCTCTTTATGTAGAATATTTGGATAACAATGCCTGCCATCCTTCAATTTCTGTTCACTTTCTTTATTCAGAGAATGTTGATTACGCTGAATGGCACCCTCCATCACTTTCTTAAAGAAAGCATACTCTGAAGTTTTGGGGATACCAGCTGCACTAGTATTACCATTCATGGATTAGGACCAATATAACTACAACCAACTGGTGCTATAAGAGAATTGAGGACTACAATGGATCATATAAATAAATAAATAAATAAATAAATAAACAGTAATATTTACAAGATTGGGGATCCCTGGTTGCTTCAAATCCTGTTGAAGAATCATCTGATATGTTGTTTGATAAAGGAGCTCTGTTAACATCTGCAAATCTCACTCTTTTTGCCTTGCTTTTGACTAACAGAAAAAAATGAGAATGTAGTTACTATAACATTGCAACATATGATTAGAAAAGCAATAATTTACATCTAATCAAGAGCAGCACCAATCCAATAGCTGTGCAAGGAGCTAGCTACCCATAAAATAAGAAAAGCACCAGAAACAACACATTTGCACTAAGGGAAAACGAAGAAGTAAAAGTAAAGGAATACATGTTCAATATATAGAGTAATGAGTAAATTCCCTAGAAATCATTAACTCTGTTGGTATTTTGGATGATTGGCCCGACACTATCAATATAATTTATACTAGGACTACCATTATTTCATAGCATTCCAGTTCCAGAGGTTACCAATGTATAATTCAGTTGTGCTATCATTCATTTTATCAATATACACATAGAGAGAAATACCACGTAATCCATGAAATGGCTTAAATTATATACACCATTGCTAGCTAGAATTTCGGTGCACATATGATCATCTAGCGAACTCCCCTCATTGGAAAAACTGCATTGCAGCTTAGCTTGTAAATCTAGATTCTAGAAAATGACAAGCATGGTCCTGGGAGCCTGGTAAGAAGTTTCAGACTACCTACGGGCTACGGGTTTAGGGACGAACCCTAACCATTTGAGCTATCTTCTCCGTATTATCAAACAGTCAAACACGTATTGATTCCTTCGTATATGCAGTACAGACTATGCTCATAATGTGAACACCAGATCAAATGCGAAAGCATCTGAGAATTGCATTTTATCGTGACCACGAATTAATTAACCATTGATTTAGATTTTTTGAGCTGCAGGAAAACTATGAATAAAGGCGCGCAAAATAACACTCCGGTTGAAATTAGGATCCAAAGTGAACGGAATACCATATCGGTAGTCGGAGTCGCGGCGTCGAGCGAAGCCGCCGCCTGAAGAGCCTTGGACGTTAGACGGTTGTGCGTCGTCGGTTATGGACCTTCGCACCATCGTCTTCCTTCGATTCATCTGAACTCGATATCTAGAACTCTAGAGCTTGTAGAATGGAGATCGAAGTTTTGAAAATCTGAAGCCCGCGGATTATGAAGGCCGGGACTGGAGCGGTTGTTATACAATGGACCATAGTCGGTGCTATGTGAACCATGATGTTCATGATTCTCAAATGAAATTGTACTAGATTTAAAATTTAAAATGATACTTTAGTGTTGTTCAAATGAAATTAATGTGTGAAAAAATAAAATTAAAATACAGAATTTATTTAACAACGTATTATCAAAAGAAACTATAGTATAATTAAAATGATACTTTAATTTAGTAAAATGAAATCAGTGTGTGGAAAATGAAATTAAAATTAAGAAACATACAATAACATATATTGTCATATGAACGTAAAGTGTAATTAAAACAATAATTTAACATTATTATAATTAAACTAGTGTCTGTGGATTTTCAAAAAAAAAAAACTAGTGTCTGTGGAAAATAAAAGAATAAAATATAGCTCATACAATAATGTGCGTGAGTGTTGTACTTAGTGTACGTGAATGTGTAAAATGCAGCAGAAAATATGGATGTCAGCTTCTTCCCCATCCCCAGTAGCCATTGCCCCCTCCCTGATGATAATGATGCGGAGGCAGACTATGGTGGTTAAGAATTATGGGAATAATACAACAGAAACCCACACTTAGCTGGTGTGCAAATTTTGCTGTGCGTGCGTCATATATATAAACATTCAACTGCACTGAAGGTAGCTGATAATTCAGAATCCATGGCCAAATTGAAGGAAGAAGTAACAAGAAGCTTGGGTGTTAATGTGAGTGAGTTTCTGTTCTGCTTCCTTCTAAGCTCGTAATTCTGAAATACTAACGCACATTAAGCACAAATCTCACGCACATTAAACACAATACTCAGGCACATTAAGTACAAAACTCACGCATATTAATATTACGCACATTAAGCACAAATCTCAGGCACATTAAGCACAACACTCACGCACATTAATCCACCGCATATCCGCACGGGAAACATTCAACCGCACGGGAACCTTTCACTATATATATATATATATATATATAGGAAATTGCTCAAGAGCGGTCGCATCCTCCCGTGCAGCCGTACAACCGTTTTCAGAATACACCAACAGGATTAATGAAAGACACCAACAGTGTAAAGGAAACACACAACAATAAATTGTAAAAATACACCAAAAATACACAACACACTAAAAAAAATACATCATATAGCTCACCATCTCTAATGGTGTATTTCCGAACACTGTATTATGCTTTTATTCATATCTAATGGTGTATTTTTGGTGATTCGTACCTAATTTGGATATTTTTTTGTAGTGCATTTCCTAACGTTGATGGTGTTATATTCGCTTAACCATTGGTGTGGGCGCACTGACTGCATCTGAACTTAACTATATATATATATATATATATATATATATATATATATATATATATATATATAATTTCATATGCAAAATGGAGATTTGACAATATTATTCTCTATTTTTTTTTATTATTTTAAATTGTAGCACATCGTCTATATTTTTTCTACAATATTTTGTTAAAATCACGTTTTTTATTATGTAATAAAATATCGAGACTAAACAAGATTATAATTAAAGAATAAATATTAAAATGTACTACAATATTCATGTAATAAGTAAAATTTTGATAGTGTAATAGTTTTGTTATTATAAGAATCAAAATAACAATTTTTTTTTAAAGAATTGGGAATGTATATTGCAACGAAAAAAAAATTATGGACTAATTAAAACTGCTAATATAGGAACCAAAATTGCATTTTCCCCAAAAAGAAAATATACGCACGAGCACGACATTATCCACAAGAATGGCAGATGGTAACCACATGGCAGCACGGCAGTGGACAAGTCCTTCCGGAGTGATTCCCATCCAAGAAATGATAATCCCATTAATTCGAAGCCTTTGAAAAATCCTTCCCAGTATTTTCCGCACTCGGATTCGCATCTTTGCAGCAGTTGAGACAAACCATGGCAAGCTGCGGCATGGCATCAGCCGCGTCTGAGTTTCTGCTGACTGCTAAAATGGTGGCCTCAAACACCACCACACCTCGGATCAACATCGTAATGTTCCCTTCCAAGAATGCCACCACCCCCGCCCGCTGCAGGCTTGTCGTAAGGGCAGCCGCCGAGGAGGCTGCGCCGCCACCACCGGCAGCCGCAGATGCTGAAGCTCCTCCGGCTAAAGCTGCCAAGCCACCCCCCATTGGACCCAAGAGAGGAGCCAAGGTAAATATATACTCCCCTGTCCATTTCTTTCTAAGAAGTTTAAACTGCATTTACTTCAATTCTCTAGTCGCTTTACTTAAGTTAAGATTGCGTTTACCCCAATTTTCGGTCTTAATACTTCAGTTTAACTTGCGTTTACATCAATTCTCCAGTTTTAGTTCTTAATGGAATATGTTGATTTGCATGGATTGATGAACCTCTTCTTGATAGGTGAGGATTCTAAGGAAGGAGTCATACTGGTTCAAGGGAGTTGGATCAGTTGTGGCAGTTGATCAGGTAGTTTGGATATGTGATTTTTTTTTTCCACCTTTTTCAATAAAAAAATAGTTTCAGATCATTTTCTCACTTTAAACTGACTCTAGATATGATGTTAGGTTAAAATCAGTGTTACAAAAATCACGGCTAGGCGCCACCCGGCCGCCGCGAGGAAGGTCGAAATCGGCCTCCTCCGCGGCCAGGCGGCTAGGTGGCTGTCTAGACCGCCTAGCCGACTGAACCGGCCGATTATTTCTTAATTTTAATTTTTTTATATATTTAGATGGTTTCAACAATATTTAGAACGATTTTACAACCACTTACGTATATTTTTATTAGTGAATTTTACAATTTTTAGTTTAATTTTTTAAAAAAATAACAAAAAATAAAAAATAAAAAATCGGCGCCGAAGCACCCCTCGGCGCCTAACGTGTTTTGCAATCTTGGTTAAAACTGACACTGGATATGATGTTCGGTTAAAATTGACGCTAGATAACCACCACCGTGGCGATGTGCAGGACCCCAAGACTAGGTATCCAGTAGTGGTGAGGTTCAACAAGGTGAACTATGCAAATGTATCAACCAACAACTATGCATTGGATGAGGTTGAGGAGGTGAAATGAGGCTTAAAATTAGACCATCTTCTTTCTGTTGTTGTTTACCTGTCAGATCTTGAACAGAAATGACAATGGTTGTATGATAATATACTCTTCTTGCAGTAACTTGAATCATTCCATCAAGAATAATCTTATTGGTGGGAAACTAGTTCTGAATACACTGAAACTCTTTGGTTTTTTGATTGGATTTCACAGAATACCGTAGTTTATACACTGGAATTGGGATAAAAATGCAACAACCATTAAACAATCGACTTTCTTGCAAGTCTGCAATAGCTTCTGCATCTAAGAAAGCTTTATGCTTTTCTGGCATTAGCTTCTGATAGCAAATTCTCGAGTTCTCCTTTCTGATACAGCTCGATGGTATCTGAAATGTGGAACAAGGAGAAGATCAAAATGCTGCCAAATCGGTTGTCAATAAGGGAGGTCAATATGCAGAATTCAAAGCATGATTTAAAGGAAACCCCTAGAAGTTTTAGAAAATAAAACACAGATTAAGATTAATCACATTTCTGGGCATTCATCTCACACTAAGCTACTCAAATATGGGACTCAATCACCTTAAGAGCGAAAGGTGTGTGGATTACAAACGCTACTTGAGAGGGCAATGATGCAGAATACAAGAATGATGCAATGCGTTTTTTTCTTTTTCCAGAGAGCAAAAGACTAGCAAAAAGAGGTACCTGAACAACCACCGATATGTTTGCCCCCTGGTCAAGAAGAAGAAATGGAACTCATTAGCCATTTTATCTAATGCTCGATACTAAAATAACCTCAAAGAGCCATTGAATTTCAAAACGAAAACATTAAACATCAGCGTGACAGCATTACGGTTGTCCTTATTATTACTATTTTTGGTCAGGCCATGAAGTGTCCTGAGTAGACCCTAAAGGTAGGCCGTAGGAGACACCTTTAAACCCATACCATACTCAGACTAATTCCCATTCGCACCGGGCCGGCCCAATTACGGGGCAAAGTGTTGGCCAGATTGGTTTTTCCATACGAGAGGGGTTCAAACTCCCGACCTCTCTTAAGGGATGAGAGTGCACAACCACTCACGCCATATTATAAGATGAGAGTCTGTTACAGGGCTGGATCGCGTCACAGGCCTACGGACTGGACTCGAGTGGCGAGCCGGAGGGACGGGGGAATCTGGTGATCTACCTATGGTTAAAGATAAGAGAGAACAAAGGATAATGATAGCTAGTGGACACAAGATTGTTAAAAGAACTGAAGCGTTTCTGGAGTGCTTCTCCTCCCAATCTTTCATATACTTGAAAGCCAAAAAATAAAATCCAAGATGATCTCCCCCCATGCATGGCGAGACTTAAATACAAGAAATAAAGAACCTATCCTAGAAAGCAGGAGAAGCAAAACTAATAATAACGTTAACAAACTAATAGTAACGTTAACAAACAAGAAGATAGGAAATATTTATTTTGAAAAAGTCCTAGGCTGCTGCCACCTTCTTCTTCCTTCGCTGATATGTTTTGCCAATGAACGTATCAATACCCCCTCCCTGCAAATCAAGCTTGTCCTCAAGCTTGTAATCGGGAAATAATTCCTGGAAATGAGAAACAGTTTCCCACGAGGAATCCTCAGGCGCGGCACCCTCCCACTGGACCAGAACCTCAGGCACTCCACGATTCAACCGGGAGCGAAGTACATCGGTAGGCCGAAGCAAAACTTTACCATCCTTGACTGGCGGAAGCACCGGAATGGTGTGAGGGGGCTCCCCGATGAATTCCTTAAGCAGGGACACGTGAAAAACATCATGGATGTGAGAATCAGGAGGGAGCTCGAGCTGATAAGCCACCTTACCGAACAATTTCTTAATACGGAACGGCCCGAAAAATTTAGGGGACAACTTAGTGAACAAATGGCGACGAACGGACAGTTGGCGATACGGATGGAGACGTAACCAGACCCACTGGCCTAACTGGAAGTGGACCTCACGATGATGATGATTATAAGAAGCGGACATACGGGCCTGTGCAAGCCGCAAACGGTCACGAACTTCGGCCAGAACCATATCCCGCCTTTGTAAGTGATCATCTATGGCCTCAAGTTTTGAAACGCCTGGTTCATATGACAGAAGTTTGGGAGGATCTCTCCCATAGACAACTCGAAAAGGAGTCGTGCCGATCGAAGTGTGGAACGAAGTGTTGTAGCAAAACTCCGCCCACGGCAACCACTCCACCCATTGGCGAGGGCGATCGCCCACGAAGCAACGCAAGTACATCTCTATCGTACGGTTGGTCACCTCCGTCTGGCCATCGGTTTGCGGGTGGTATGCGGTCGAAAAGGACAAGGTAACACCACTGAGTCTGAACAATTCTTTCCAAAATGCGCAAGTAAAAGTCTTGTCCCGGTCGCTAACCATGCTCTCCGGGACACCGTGCAACTTGACGATGTTCGCAAAGAAAACAGTGGCGACCGTAACCGCCGTGAAGGGATGCGAAATCGGAATGAAGTGAGCATATTTGGAGAACCTGTCAACGACGACCAATAAAGCAGTTTTCCCGTGTACCTTCGGTAATCCTTCCACAAAGTCTAGTGAGACATCACTCCAAACAAGTGACGGAATAGGCAACGGTTGAAGAAGACCGGCCGGTCGCAGGTTTTCCCACTTGTTGCGCTGGCACGTAGTACACGAGCGCACGTAGTCCCGAACAGAGGTCTTCATTCCTCGCCAATAGAATTCCCGGGACACCCGGAACAAGGTCTTCTGAGCGCCCTCATGCGTGGCATCATGAATACCTGCAAGGATTACAGGAATAAAGTTAGAAGTAGGAAGTAGATAAACACGATCTTTATACCTGAGGACTCCATCACGCAAAGACCAGCGGTCACCAGCCGAACCCGCATTCACACGATCGAGCAAGGATTTTCCTTCCGGGGAATCGTCCAACTCGCGGGAAATGGAGTCCAACAACGAGGAACGAGGACTGGACAAGAAAAACAACATTGGGGAGTCCTCGTCACGGCGGGACAACGCGTCTGCGACCGCGTTTAAACGCCCGGCTCGAAACTCAACCTCAAAATCGTATCCTAATAACTTGCTAATCCAGTGGTGTTGAGGAGACGTCGTGAGACGTTGCTGCAAAAGGAATTTGAGGCTGTAATGGTCCGTGCGGATCAAGAACCTACGACCCCATAGGTAGTGTCGCCAATGACACACTGCCTGAGCGAGGCCAATCAATTCCCTCTCATAGGCCGCTAACTGATGATGTCGATTGGCAAGCTTGCGGCTAAAAAAAGCAATGGGGTGATTAAGTTGATGCAGAACCGCCCCAATACCCACCCCCGAAGCGTCACACTCCACAATAAATAATTCATCAAAGTCCGGGAGTTGCAGCACTGGTGCCGACGTGACAGCGGATTTAAGCTTAGCAAAAGCGACGTCCGCTGCAGGGGTCCAACTAAAAGCGTTAGATTTTAATAAAGAAGTTAGGGGGGCCGCAATTAAGCCGAAATCTTTAATAAATTTCCTGTAAAATCCAGCTAAACCCAAAAACCCACGCAACGCGCGAGTAGACTGCGGCACCGGCCATTCCAGGACATCTTTAATTTTATTAGAGTCCATTGAAACGCCGTCCGCAGCAATAACATGACCCAGATAGCAAACCTGAGACTCACCAAAAACGCACTTAGATTTTTTTTGGAGTAAATGATTATCATGCAATAAAGCAAAAACCGTCCGAACATGATGCAAATGCTCAGCCCATGTCCTACTATAGATAAGTATATCATCAAAAAAAACGAGGACAAATTTACGGAGTAAAGACCCGAAAACCTGATTCATCAACGCCTGGAAAGTGGACGGCGCATTGCACAACCCAAAAGGCATTACCAAGAACTCGAAATGGCCGTGGTGCGTTCGAAACGCCGTCTTTTCGACGTCATCGGGGTGCATGCGAATTTGATGGTATCCGGACCGCAGGTCCAATTTGGTGAAAAAACGTGAGCCGTGCAACTCGTCCAGAAGTTCGTCAATGACGGGGATGGGAAACTTATCTTTAACTGTTTTGGCGTTGAGTTCCCGGTAATCAATACAAAATCGCCAAGACTTGTCTTGTTTAAGGACAAGCAACACGGGCGACGAATAAGGTGAACGACTAGGCCGGATAAGGCCCAATTCAAGCATGGCCCCGCACTGTTTCTCTATTTCGTCTTTTTGTGCCTGCGGGTAACGGTAGGGACGAACAGCCACCGGGTCCACCCCAGTCGCAAGTGTAATACGATGATCACAAGAGCGAGCCGGAGGAAGTGACGTGGGCTCCTGAAATAACACAGAATAGTCAGTGAGAAGATGTTCTAAAGCGGTCCTGGCCGGCGTTGTGCTTATCGCGCGCAACGCGCGATGGGGCCGAAGAAGCTCGCCGTGCCAAGTGATGGGGTTGCCTTTAACGGTAAAGGACATTGTAAGGGCAGTGAAATCCCAAAGAATTGCTCCCAAGGTCCGCAACCATTTAACACCCAAAACTAATTCAAAACCCGCCAAAGGAATAACATACGGACTAATAAAAAATATTAAACCATCCTTAACAACGCGAACTTTATCGCACAGTCCAGAGCCGGAAATCTGTTCGCCATTCGCGACCGCAACCTGGAGACCGACGCACTCGGTGACCGGGAGGCCAAGCAACTTCGCCGTATGCTCACTGATGAAGTTATGTGTACTGCCCGAGTCAATCAAAGCAGTGACAGGCGTGTCTGCGAGAAATACTTGCACCTGCATAGTTTGACCGGGATTAGAACCTGTAATGGCGTGTAAGGAGATCTCTGGATTGTCAGTAGCCATCTCCGGAAGAGGGTCGCATTCCGCGTCTGAAATAGTGTCATCCAAGACGAGAAGGAATAAATGCTTGCATTGATGCGCAGGGGTCCACCGTTCGTCGCAATTGTAGCAAAGGCCACGCGAACGCCGGTGGGTATACTCTGCGCGTGAGAGGCGTCGTTCCGGTGGAGGAGTCGCGCCGACGGGCCGGTTCGAAACAGAGTGCGCGCTGGCCGACGAAGACGCGGAACGACTCCCTAGCGAGTGGGCAGTGACACTGGCCGGGAACGAAGCAGTCGCTGAGGGACGGCCAGAGGAGATGGACGCGGACTGCTTCGACTGTGTACCTGAAAAAGAAAGGTTGGCGGTGTTAGATTGTCGTCGAGGCAATCCCGAA